TTAACATGGCACTGAGCAAAGGCATTTATATATTAAACAAAAATACAGTGAATACATTAATAGATTGTTCATATTTAATGTTAATGTTTTTATTTTAACATGGCAGTGAAATGCTGGAGGAAGGCATGTTTACATTATTAATAAAAATGATATTTTTTATTAATAATTCATCAATAATAATAATAATAATAATGAATAAAAATACTACATTATTGTATTAATAAAAACATTCATTCTGCTGCTTTTCTGCTGATCCTGTCTTTAAACATCTGTTTTGCACATGCATGTTTCTCTGCTGTTGCATCATTTTTATGGATCAGTGGGATTATTGCGCCACTGGGTTTGAACCACAGGAGGTTTGGAATAAAACTTAGATGACGTTTGAATAAAAGTCATGTGTTGTCATGGAATGGTGTTTGTTCCAAGATACTAAGCTATTTCTTTAAAAAAGTATACATTTTAATTACATTTAGTTAATAAAAAAATAAATAAATCCGATTTTAAAGTGAAAACATTGTGTCCACAGGTGTGAGAACAGTGCTTTTTTCACAATGGGAGAAGATCAATGCAGAGGAGGAGAAAAGAGGCAAATCCCTTGGAAAACCCAGGGAAAAACTACTTGATGTGAACCAGATGCTGAAGATCGCCTGATCCTGAGAGCCAACCCAGTGACGAGCTAACAGAAGCGCTGCCAAGTGCGTATCTGAACTAAAACAGTGATGCCACAACAGGAAGTCTGTTGATGTCATGAAATCACCCAAAAATGACCTTGCCCTTGCTCGTTTCCATCTGTTTTTCCTCTGTGGAACAGAGAAGATGATATTTGGCAGAATGTTCATGCTGCTCTTGTTCATACAATGAAAAATTTGGATGTGTTACTTACACAAAACTATCATATGACTTTAGACATCTGGAAAGTCTAAACTTAAAAACTATAAACACAAGTGATATGGATTACATTTATGATGTTCTATTGTACATTGTTGTAGTTCCTCGAGTGTCTGGATTCACTTTCGTTGTAAAAAAAAAAAAGAGCAAGTGGGTGATTCTTCTAAACATCTTTTAATTTCCACGGAAGAAATCCAGTGGAATGATATGATGGTGAGTAAACAATGACACAAGTTTCGTGTCATTTACAAACTGTTCTTTTAAAAGAAAGCTGTGCTGGATTTTATGGTTTGTGCCTTAGTTTACCAAATTCAGACTGTATGGGTAAAGAATCAAGTCTGAGGAGATAAGTTCCTTGTTAATGAATATTTTTAGCTTTGTTGTCAGGACATGCGCTTATGATAATCACTAGCATTTCTCCTAAGTGCTCCTGATGACATGTCAAACAATGAAGTTAGACCAGTCCTTGACATGTTGTTATTCAGGTCATTCTTGCCAGAATAAACAAACATGTCTTTGTGACATTGAATCCACACTGAACACAGGACCTAACCTAACCCTACACAGCAATTCTGTTTGCACACCAGATGTAATTTATAACTGTTGTTTTATCATGTACTGTACATTATAACACAAGTAGTTCAGACCAGATCAAATCAAGAATGAATAATTATGAAGATAACTATAATGATTATTAGCTTCCACACCAATGCATGATAACATTTCATTGGATTTTCAAACCGCTTAAGGGGTCCGGTTGATTCTGATTGGTTGTCAGCTATTAAAAGACCCTCATGGAATAAAGGTCGTTCACACCAAGAACTAGAACTATGAAGATGTGCATTAGCATCCACACCAACGTGTTATAATATAAAAGTCAGTTTATTATAAGCATGCTGCACTTTTTTTTTTGTAGTCGGTCGCTTTAAATGCTTAAGCTCTTTAAAGTAGGATGGATTCTGATTGGCTGTCAATATTTTAATTGTTCCTCAGCTATTAAAAGACGTTCTGAAAGTGATTCCAACAATATATTTTCTGTGTCGTTATCGTTGTGGTCCCACATGCAATTAAGTACGTTCACACCAAGTACGATAACTATGATAATTACTATAACGTTCTGTTTATTATTATAAGCATGATGCAGATATCTTTGGAATCACTTTCAAAACGTTTTTTTTTTCAGAATCCACCTTACTATAAGCTAGAGCATTTAGCTACAGGTTTTGCACATTCCTCAGAACTGAAAATTGCATTACTTTGAGCATGTGTAGAAATCAGACTTCGCATGTCCAGAATTTACATTTAAAGTCCCCAGAGCTGTGTTTTGCTGGTGGAATATTGCCCTGTACAAGTCATATGAAAGTAGTGTTGTTTTTGGCGGCCTGTTTTAATTTTAGTTTTAGTCTAGTCTTTGTGTGAAACTGACAAAGTTTTGCTCACTCAGTGTATTTTTGTAGGGCTATTAAGAGATTTTTTTTTTTTTACCAATTATCCAAATAATGTTTAATCTTAGAAAGCTATTATCATCAGAGGACACATGAGCATAACGGTTAGCAGATCAATGAATGAGAGGGCAGCGTTACCAGAGTTGCCCATATACCCCACCATGTTACAGCACAGTAGGGCTATTGCAGACAGAAACAATACTGTACTACATCCATGTTTCCTGTCAGTTCAATTTTTGAGTGGACTTTGCTGTTCCGATGAGCATGAACGCACACACACACAAGTGAATCCTGAGCGGTGAACTCATTTTCGGCAGCCGGAATTTCTGTGCATCTCTAATTATTGGCGGCATTAGAAATGGATATTATATAATAGCTGCTTTTTTGAACATTTTAGCAATTTAAAAATATTAAAAAATGATTTTTTACACGGCACCCTTGCTCTCGACAGACCCGGCTGGGAAACACTGTTCTAAATAATGCCGGAAGTGACCTGATGCAGCCCCTGAAGCGAGACACAGGAAACAGAAATACTGCAAAATAATAACGAGACGAAATAACGTTATAACATTTCGTTTCGTTCAATGAAAATGGAGACATTTTAGCATAGTTTTTATTTTGTAAGCCACATTTCGTCTCGTTTTTATTCGTCAACAATATTGCATTGTACATTTAATTATCGTCATTGTCACATGACCAGCATTTTCGTCTCGTCTCCGTCACGTGATAAGGGTTCGTTGACGACTATATTTAGTCATAGTTTTCGTTGACGAAAGCAAAGCTATATGAAAGAAACCTTTGTTCCAGATTCTTAGGCCTCAGCACTAACCGGGCACCAGGCCTACTGGCATCTAAAACCCCCAGAGTTGAGCACAGATGTGTGTGTTGTTGTTGGAAGTCTCCCTGTACCAGTCAATCCGGCTCTGCATGGAAATGTGGTTAGTTTCTCTTTTTTGCAGCATCTCACTTTTCTAGTAGTCTGGCTGCAGCAAACTCTCCCTTCCTCTCCATCAACATTTTTGTTGTTGTTCATAACATAGCCTTTTCATTCACCCTCAGGAGGAAACCAAAGCATTAATAGATGAATAACATGCTTATCATTTAGTTCACACATTAACTTTTTGGAGAGTATCAATTTTAAGGCCTTCAAAATGGAACAGAATAATGACTCAGTTACCATTGTTGGGCGAAATACTGATGGTTTCAATAGGAATCCTGCACAGGATCAAAAATAAAAAAAGATAATTGACTTTTTAAAGACGTTTTAATCTCACAATACATTTTTTCTTGCAATTCTGAGAAAAGTCAGAATTGTGAGATATAAACTCCCAATTGCGAAATGTTAATAGTTTATATCTTACAATTAACATTTTTTTAACACTTTACAATAAGGTTTATTAGTTAACATGAACTAAGCATGAACAATACTTCTACAGCATGTATTGATCTTAATTTCAACATTTACTATGCATTAAAATCAAAAGTTGTATTTGTTAGCATTAGTTAATACACTGTGAATTAACATGAACAATGAACGACTGTATTTACATTAACAAAGATTTATACATACTGTAACAAATGTATTGTTCATTGTTAGTTAATACATTAACTGTTGTTAACAAAATGACAGCTTATTGTAAAGTGTAACCAAAATAATGTATTCCATGGCAGTTCAAATTCTGAGGGAAAAAAAATTAAAATCTGAATTACGACAAAGTTGGAATTGTGAGAAAAGTCAGAATTCTAAGTTAAAGTCTTATAATTCTCAGTTTAAATCTTAAAATTCAGTTTCTTTCTCAGAATTGCAAGAAAGAAAGAAAAAACAGAATTGGAAGATGTAAAGTCAGAATTCCAAGGGGGGGAAAAAATCTGAATTGTGAGGGGAAAAAAGTCGCAATTAGTTAAAACATTTTTTAATCGCATGGTGCAAACAAGATTTCATATGAAGGTGAAAGATTTCCTGATGCTGTTCTTCACACATCGCTTCACTACTGACAACAACAGATATTTTGTGCCCACAAAATTTTGCTAAAGCAATTTTAAAGACAGATCACAACACAGCTGATTAACATTTAGTTTATTACAAACAAAAGCCCTGCTGTTTCAGTTGTACGGTGTTTAATAAATGCCATACGTTTTTTCGGCTCCATCTCTGTAGCGGTCCAGGTACCTGAGAGGCTGTCCGTGAGGGTATTTCTTCTGTGGAGGGTGATACACTGGAGGTCTGTCGTACTCAAACACCGGCTCTCTCATATAT